AAAAAGTTTAAAATTACAGTCTGTAATAAAAATTTTTGACTTCTGTAAATTGCCCCTAAACTTGTTTTCTATACACTTTGTGCAACATTATAAAAACTAAATATAAGTAAACACATGTACATATTTTATTATTATCGTTATTGAATTACAGGCAAATCTTTTAAATTTTCTTTGCATGCTTCGCTGTTCATTTTTTAGAAAGAAAAACATTCACATTTATGACGAATTTTGACAGTTACAACCAGTCATAAATGATATTTACATATACGTAATCTATCTGTTTATCATACTTGACAAATTTTCCAAATAGCAGAAATAATTTGCCTTAATTAATTTTTAGTATCATTTCATATTTTATATGTTATTAATTTTTCAATTCAAGTCCTCAAATTGTCCATTCTGTTTATTAATTTTCTAGCTCAAGTTTTATTCCAGTTAATTAATTGACTTTACAATAATGCATTTGATTATTTTTTTTGAAAAAAACGACTTAAAATCAAATTTTTTATAATAATATGATTAATATCTGTATATCATGATTAGAAATAGAATTTATTGGTGTTGTTAGAATTAATAAATGCGTTGCTATGGAAAGAGTATTGACTTGAAATGAACAAACCTAAATATATTTTGAGTAAAATTTCTACACTTTATTAAACTGCCATTACTTTTCTATAAAAGTAAAATTAGCTTAATAAAAGTGTGAATTATTTCTGAAAGGCAATCAATCAGTTATGAATGAAACTATTTGCAAGCAATTCAACGAATGGGTATTGTTATCAAAATTGTTATCAGTTGAAAGTGATATTTTAGCTAGTAACACACTGATTGTGTGCGATAAAACTATTACTAATTAAGCAAGTAACTATTTAACTATTTATCATTGCACTTATGATTTTTATTTCTCGTTTTTTACTAAGTTTATTAAATTTTTTGTAAAAAAATTTTTTATTTTGAATAACAAAAATCAGTTGCAGTAATTGTTTACTGAAAATTTTCTTTGCATATTTTGCTTAAGTAGCAATCATAAAGTGGTGATAGCTGTTTCACGTGTCTCACGTGTTTCTAAGGAATTGATACAATCAACCAGTAATACTTGATATATTATTTATTTTAATTGTTTGAGATGACAAATTTTTTCAAGAATGTTTAATGAACTAAACGAAAAATTCACAGTTGCAGCACTTCGTCTTGATGAGGTGAATGATTTTGATTAATTTTATCACAAAAAATACGCAAAAATTGCAAGAATTTTTTGAATAAGCAAACTAAATTTGCGTTTTTACTCAAAAAACTAAGAATAAAATTAATCATTTAGATCAAATTTCTTACCTCAAATAAATATTTTTGCATGCATTATTATTGTTCAAATTTTGAGAGGATAAATCGTTGTTCGTTATTGAGTATTCCGGAAAAACCATGGAAATCATTCACTCATCTACTTTATGGCCACTTTTTCTTGGCTACAACATTATTCATTTTTGGGACATTATGTTTTTGCCTTGGCTTGCAATTCAGTGTTATGTACAGTGAGGTTAATTGTGCTAATGGCATTAATATTTGGATTCCTCTTCTCAATTTGGTTTGTTTATTTGTTTTTGTTTTTGTTTTTGTTTTTGATTAAACATCTTGCAATAATCCATTATAACCAATAATAAACTTCAGTTGCAAAAAAGTTATTCTCTGAAAAAATTGTACAAAAATTTTGACGACGAATATTTGTTTCATGAAGTGAGTTTGGTAATGATAAGCATTTTCGTTTTTTAATTTTCATTAAAAAATAGAAAAGAACTTAAAAAAAACAAAATTAAATCTTAATCGGAAAGTAAGAATAAATATTTGATATTTGCAAATTTTTTGAAACATAGATTGCTCGTAAAATACTAAATACAGTAATATTACAAAAGCATGTAACAAAACATCCAATTATTCTAGTTTGTCTCATTAACGGGTTTATTCGCTTTACGTGCACTTCACTTGCATTGGCCAGCTTTCATATATTGTATTGGTTTATGCATTATGATATTTATGATGCTTATAACTATTACTGACAGTATTTTGGCATCTGTACGTTGGTTCAACCATGCCCGAAAACCAGCTGATCAATGGGCAATTAATTTTTCTTGGATTGATTTAACTCTTGCAATTTTAGCTATTTCGAATGGTATATTTACGAAAATTAAGTAATATTGTAAGCTGAAACTCATCTTATATATTTAAACTTGTTAAAATATCATTTATGTCATAATGTTAATAAATACTGACAGCAATTAGTTGAATCAAGATTACTGCAATCATTAATTATTAAAAATAAAAATAACACATTGATCATTTCTTGAATTCATGTAAGGTTGATTATTCTTAATGTTATCATAGCTTTCAGAAGTGACTTATATATGCATCCTGGTACCCCTTTCAAAGTATTGGTACCAACCTGCGAACAGTTAGTGCTAAATGCATTCAACTTTGTCTGCTTCATTTTTGTGTATCACTTTTACCTCAGGTTCAGTATTCTGCTGATATAAACTTTCTACTAGTTGCTTTTTACTTACTTTTCTTACTCGATAGTACCTATTCAATGATAACTACTTAAGAAAATCTGTAATTTCATAAGTTAATAAAACTGTCAACTCACAATGATAAAAATTTGCATTTGAATAAGTATGAAGAACCGAGCCAAACTTCGACAATGCTAATTAAAACATATTCATATTTAAATGTTATGAGGTGGAAATCAAAAATCTTTTTGTCTCTTTGATGGCTTTATATCAGTAAATTGCCTCAAGGGTTATTTACAAATGTTTTGCTGTAAGTCACCGTAGTTACTACTTAATTACTTATACATGATTTGAATTATATGTATATTATATGTTATTATTTGTGGCTATCAATGTTGTGACATTACTGGTACTCGCATTAATTGGCTGTAAAGCATTATCACCATATTGATAATTGTAATTTTCTTTATATTCTTTCCGTTGCCTTTTATTTTGTACATCTGAAATTTATGACATAAAATGTAATTATGCTACTAATGGAGCAACTACGAAGTTATTTGCATTATAATTTCATTTTATATTAAAAAATATAAAGAATGAGCAAGTTTGATTTAAAATGCATTTTATGGATTTAAATTTGAAAATAAAGTCAGCTAAAATAAGTTTACGTCTATAAATGATTAATTTTTAATACTCAAAAACGATAAGCAAGAAGAATTTGATTTCTGTCTGTAACTTAATTATTTGATTTTTCGATTAAAAACAAAAATGTCAGCACGAATGGATATTTCAAAAAACTTGAAACTTTTGTATTACTTTTCTAAAATATACTTTTATTTACGTCATTATTATACTATATTATTCTGTACTTCAAAACTAATTTATTTGATAAAAAAGAAGTAAATGATTTATTTGTTCAGTGCTTTCATATATTTTGAAATATTGAAAAAATATTTGCTGAATAATTATGTAAACAGAGTTGAAAAGATTCACTAAGAAATAATCATTCAAATTTCATTTGTAGATATTTTTCCAGTCTTCACTACAGGTAAATACTGCAATGAATTTAATCACTTTCTGTCAAGTGACTTTGATATAATTGTAACCAGTTTTGTTTACGAGATTTCTGATTAATAATTTTATCAAAGTGAAATTTCTGAAAGTCATTTGTGCAAATCGATTCCCATGAGATGCACTTTTTTGCGTGATTATCACTTCATTAATTATTATTACTTAATTATTTACCTTTTTCATTTCATTAACTTTTAGTTTAATTAATGGCTATAGTCATATATCTTTTACTGATAAATAATGTCTAATCTTATACGTAATATGTTTTGTTAAAAGTTTTTATTAGAAAATAATATTTGAAATTCTGACTAAAAATATAATTGCTCACTTTCTGGCAACATTCCGATGTCAAGACAACGCTTCATTCGACAACTTCGACAAATTTTTCGATAACCGCTAGCTGTAATCAAAACTACACATTTAAGGACAAGAAATTAACCTTTACAAAAAAATTAACCTCTACAACTACTGAAACTTAGGTTTCTATGTTTTTGTCAAAAAAAACTGATGATTACTATTTTTCATTCAACGTAAATAGAGCTAACTAATAGACAGACTTTAATTCACACACTTTATTGCAAATTGCAAATTTTAGTGAAAATTAAAAAAATATTTACTGATTTATATCAATAATTAATTCAGATAAACAGTACCGTCATTAATTTTGACATCGCATCGCTGTGATCTTTTGCAAATATAACTTTTTTTATCGCTAACAGTACGTCTGAAATTGGCCTTTTATGGATGATAAGAAAGTTATTTAAAATTTTTTTGCTGACGTATAATTACTACTTTAATTCAAGTTGTACTTTATTATTTAAAAATCACTGCTTTATGTACACGTCTAACAAAATTAAATGCAGTGAATACTAAAATAACCGAAAAAATGCAGCACACGCGGCACAAGTTTTAGCTCCAAAATGTAATCCATTAGACGCTCCTGCTAAGCAAACTTGGCACGGTTGTTCCACGTGAGATCTACGCATACTTGCATTAGATAGCGTAGGAAGAGTGAATTGCGTTGATGTGGATGGCAAAAAATTATGAGTATCCAATGACATTAATGAGTAACTACAAATTAATCTTTTATACAATGTTATCCAGTTTATGCATCAATCTTTCATTACATTAAAGCAAAAAAAAAAAAATGCACAATTAGTTATATAAATTTTTTCAAATGAAAATTTTTAAAATCACTACTAAATATTTATTATTCAGTTGGAAATTCAAATTCAAAAATTTTTTAAATTACTCATTATGTTCTGTTAATCTTTTGTGTCAATTTGCTTAAATAATTTCCTGAAAAAACAAAATTAATTTACTTTAATATTTTTTGACAATAAAAATTATAATGTCTGCAAAATGTGTCATGACAAAAACTGTAAAAAAATTTACTTCAAACAAATGTATAAGCAATTAAATTTGAGGGCGAGTAAATACATACATACAAAAGGATTTTTGAGATATCTGACTGTTTATTATTATTATTATTGTTATTATTATTATTATTATCATTATTATTATATTAGTGATAATTATTAACGATAATGATAATAATGATAATATCATTATCATTGGAATTTTTAGAGATATAAAGTTTATAGAAGCCGAAATAATAAATGCAAAATATTTTCAAATATGAAGTAGCAATACAAGTATAAATGCTTTCTATATGAAAGAAAAATTTTTAAAAATGAATAAATTCTACTTCACTTGGCCAGAAATGAATGCATTCCAAAAGAATTGTGCAAAAATTGGCTAATTGTAAAGTAAATACAAAAAAGAATATTTTTGGGGCTGTCCTTTTTTTCAAAAATTTGTAAATATATATAATTTTGCATCAAAATTGAAATTAAAGATCTCTCTGAAAGACTTTTTTCATATCACTGATGGATTTCAAAAATTTAAGTTAACAAAACTGTGCTGAGATTTTATTTCAAACAATGATTGTTTGTGCAGGATTACAGAACTTTTATTGTATACACAGAAAAATTACTGTATTGCTTATTAATAAAACATTTTATATACAGATCTTCTCAAAAAGCATTGTTTTCTCTGACCAAATTTTTTGAGTAAAAGTTACTTTTGGTCTTGGGCAAATCTTGTACATAATGCTCCCGAAAAGTCTTTTGTATTGTAAGGGTACGAAATTGGAGGGATGGATGGGCTTGTTGCAATCATTTGTCTCATAGGTATACTACTGAAACCATTAACAGAATCCTGAAATGATTGTTAAGTCAAAGGTTGAAAAGTACAGTTGTGAGCAGAACTTGTGCATAATAAAATATCGAGAAATTAATTTCACATTCATATGCTATTTATTCATAAAATTTCAATGCTATTCCAAATTGATTCATACATTTAAATTTACAAAAAGTTGGATTTGAAAAGGATTAAAAAGTTTTCATCATTACAATACATAATATTGTATGCAAAAATTATTGCACTCCATAAACATTGTCCCAATACTACTAGAAGTTTTAATAATGAAAATGATTAGATCAGAAAGTGTTTAATTGAGAGTAATTTAAAAAATAGGCTAATTCTGATTTTTCTAATGGTTTTGAATATTGAAAACAAACAGCTATATATCCTGGCGTTGATCATTTCAAATAAAAATATCATACAATTTTTGTTTGTTAAAAAACAACAAACAAAAATAAAAAAAATAAAATTTCTGAAAAAAATAAAATCCATACCGGAATTTGCGATAACGGTGTAAAGCAATGTGATCCAGTAAAATTGCTGGCTACACTTTGGCCAATATTAGTTAAAAAGGTTGAATTATAATCACCACAAATTAAAATAGACGATGAAGTGACATCAACAGGCATCGATGAATCTTCAGCATTCAAATATTCACTTACATAAGCACTGCACCAGTTATTATCAGAATTTAAATTATTCATTTTGCCATCAATCAGCTCATTAAGATGATAAAAAAGGAGCTCAAATGTCGAAATCTGAAATATTTTTTTGATTCCATCTAAAAAATTCGTTCTTCAATTAACTAGCAAAGGAAGCATTATTGCTATTGCAGCATACCAATGACAATTTCATGAAATTAATTACACTTTTCACTTAATTTTGTGGTTTTCAATTTCGTGGAATGGATCAAATTTAAAATTTTCCCCTTACTTCTATGCATAATCTTTTAATCTAAATATCTATCTGCTGATATATGACGTCATTTAATATATTTCTGATATAAAATTATGCCAATTTTTGTTGAAAGTACAATTTGGAAATGTTCCCTGTTGTATGAAGTACAATATAAATCGTAGTTACACATTTTATTCACTTTGTCATCGACAAGTTTTTTATATTAAATGAAGAAAATGGCATTTATACTTGCTAAATTTTTAGTTCAATTAAAGAGAGGCTTAAAATAGGCTTAGAAAAAAGTATACAAATTATAAATAAGATTATTAGGCAAATATAAAGTTGGTAAGGATAAGTGAAATAGAATAAAACGAAAGCTGGTGAGGTTCAGCTGCTTAGTAACATAGTGCCATAGGTATATAATATAAGCTATTTATGTGTCATTAATAAATAGTAAGTAATGTTTGCTACTTATACCTACCAATCTGCTTATGAAGTAATATTAATTAGACGAGAAATGCAACAATAAATAGCAATGATAACAAGTCATTTGAAGCACCGTAGCTTATTTCTCCTTCACGTCTCGATGTTTTAGCTGTACTTCAAATTATGGTAGCTATTTTCCAAGTGATATTATTTGCTATGAAAAAAAAGACAATCATGGGAAAAAGCGTTGATAACACTGGAAATGAAGTCAACTTTTATCATGACTGCAGTAATAATGATAATTACACAAGTGAGGTTACGGACAATATTTTTTGAGTTTCTTGGAAAATTATTCTCAAATAGATTTCTTGGCATACTTATGAAGTGTGACATCCTGCAACATTATTATTGCCTGTTGCTAATTAAGATAGAAATTTGTGAAGATAGAACAAAGTCATCATCACTCGTCCGTCCATCCACAGATCCATCTATCTATCATCTCATTGCTTAACGGCATTTGATATATGCACTTCTCTTCTCCACACCGATTGTTTTTTGAAGACTGAAGAACGGATGCTTCATGCCAGTTCCCGTGGGGTCAGCTTGTTGACCACTTTGTCTGCTCATTAATTTTTACATAATATTTTTGCCGAGAACTAGTCTTGTTAATCTGAGCAATCAAAGATTATCATTAATTTATCATTCTTAATTCAGATTTGTGCAATTTTAATTTAATTTTCGTTTTTTACTATCAAGAAAATGATCACAGCTAATGCCACTTTGTTGGCAAAAGTTAACTTTAATTGTCACTTGTCTGATGGCAAAGCTATATTTTATATATTTGTATTTTTTCATAATTATTATTTTTGATCAATATCTGTTTGTTTCAAGATTTCTGATCTCAGTACGTATGACAACAAATTTGGTTTAATTACAATCTGTTTAATTGATATATATATCAGCATCACACGCAGGTTATTCTTTCCTCATCATTACTGATGCTGGAGCTGGATTGTATTTAGGCATTCACGCTGCACTCGCCCAGCGCTCGGTTCTGCAGTGCTGATATATTCTTCTATATATCTATAGAAAAAAAAAAAA